GATAGAGAGACAAATGAAGGGCGTAGGTTAACGGGTTTAGAGAGAGAGAGGGCGTAGGTTAACTGGTTAGATGGAGGGTTAGGTTTTGAGGGATGGGAGTCATCTCATGAGTTGTTGAGGTCAATAATACATGGTCAAATAGGTTTAGGGGGTTGTAAGATAGAAAAGATGGAGGCCTTTTGCTTGTAAGCAATATTTTCAATTCTTGGGTCTCATGAGATATAGAAGTTAAAAATAGGGGATAAGGGGATATTTTCCTTATTATATATTTATATATAAATATCAATATATAGTATAATATTATGTTAACATAATATTATATATAATATAAGTATATGTTAATAGGTCGTATATTATATATCATATATATAATATGATATATATTATAATATTAATGATACTAATATTATGTATTATATTACACATACATTATCTAATGTTATATAATATAGTATAATATAAAATAATATATTATTTATATGTTATATATTAAATATATAAATAAGTAACATATATTAAATATTATTGACTTATAACTTATATATTAAATATATAAATGAGTACTATATAATATATACTATGTTGTAAATAGTTAATAGTGAATAGGGATCACCAGGAGCAATAATCGACAAAAATGTTCAGAGAATTTGGGTTCCTAGGCCGCCCCAGGAACTTAAATGTTTTCATTTTAAAAAGAAAAAATAAATTTTGGAGAAAGTTTGGGTCCCCATTACTGTAGTAGTTCCCGCATAGATGAGTACTCCTTCGTAATGCATAAATCATTTTTATGCATTAGCTATTTGCAAATCATTTCATTGGCTAAATGCAAATCCTTTTTATGCACACAATATCTGCATGATTCTTATTACCTGTGAGTAGAGATCGTCATAGCATTGAGAGCAAATTACGTACTGCCCTTATTTGGGATGGGGGGTCCTTTGCCTAATATTACAAGCACCACCCTGCCCCCCCCCCCTCCTTCAGCCTCTTGTTTTTTTCCTAAGTTGCCCCCCTGTCCGGCAATGAAAACACCGAACAGGGGTTTTTTTTTCCTAAGTCACCAATGTCGTCTGGTGTTTGCATTGCCGAATAACATTTTCTCCCATTTCTCTCTAACGAACTCTTTTTTGTCTCAGTTCTCTCTCTCTCCAACACATTTGCCCAATCTTCCAAATCTCTCCCTCTCTCCTCGCTTGTTTATCATAAATGTAGGAAGTATCCACCAGAGAAAGGTAAGCTCTTCATCGGCTAAATTTCTCGTTTTTGGTGCCGATTCTTGTGTTTCTTTCATCAAAGGCCATTCCAGTGCTTGATCGCACTTCAGAAATATTTAAGTTTTGAGAGATTTTGCCTCTTGGGTTTCTTTGATTTAGGTCCTATTCGTGTCCAATAGCAACAATGGATGAGACATATGTTGCTAAAGAAGCAGTAACCTCTGCAAATTCTAAAGCAGCAGCCAAAATTAATTTCCTTGAAATTTAAGGCTCAGTGGCCAAAAAACTCGACAGGAAATGAGTTTTATCATCTGAAAAATGGCATGGGAATCGACGTTAACCTAAGGTTAGGGTCTATGATGATAAAGGTGCTGGGATTAAAAGAGAGAGATAGAGGGCTAACTACATGCTAGAGAGAGAGTGCTAAATATGTGCTAGAGAGAGAGGGGCAGCCAATGAAGTGCTACCTACGTGGCAATTTCCTTGAGAAGTGGGAGAAAGTGTTATCCGACAATGCAAACGCCGGACAGCATTGGTGACTTGAGGAGAGAAAAAAACCCTTGTCCAATGTTTTCATTGCCTGACAAGGGGGCAACTTAGGGGAAAAAAGGCCACGAGGGGGGGTCCTCATAATATTGAGCAAGTGACCCCCCACAAATGGTAATTGAGCCCCCCAAATAAGGTCTGTACATAATTTTCTTTAGCAGTTAAGTAATCAATATGACTCGAAACCCGTAGTATTCGTCAAGTGAGCATTAAAGAAATAAATACATCATTTACTGCACAATATAATGTGGCAAATATACCATTCGCTGCACAATATAATCATCGAGGGAGGTTCAAGTGATTTCATTGCAAGGTCAACTAGAGTATCCATAGCATTTCTATAATATGTTTGAAGATATGCTTTGAAAGAACCAACAATCTCAGGGTCTCCTTCTACCACTCATAGAAAAAGGGCAATGAGAAAGCTGATTCTAGCATGGAAGGAGTTTATAAGTCATCATTAAAGTTGAACAATTTAATATATGGTATATATTCTTTGACTTAAATTTCTTATCTCAAAAAAAGAAAATCCAAATAACAATAAATCCTTTACGTAATTATCATCATCCAAGCATTATCCCAACTATTTGGGATCTGCTACATGAATCTTGCTCTACTTTATCAAGGTCATACCCTCAGTAAAACTACCATATCTTTTCCCACTACTTCCATCCATGTCCTTTTGGGGCTTTCCCCTAGCCCTTTTTGAGACTTCCACTTAAACTAAATCGCATCTCCTAACTGGTGTTGTATTAGGTGTACAGTACATATGACTAGCCCACCTAAGTTTACTTTCCCTTGTCTTATCACCTATTGAAGCCACAACTAAATTCCTTAGAATGTATTCATTCTTCTTGTCAAGATTTGGCAAAGTTTTACAATGGTTGCCCTACCTAACACAACCCTCCTCCTTGCTTTGCATAATCAAAGCCTCAAATTCTAGACATGAATTGATTTACTATTTTGAGAGTATTAAGGATTAAGAATGAGAAAATTGATAGAAATCAAAACCCTAAACAGCATGCAATCACCTTAAAACCTGCCATCAGTTTATGCTCCCCATCAGCATTCACACGATCAAAATACACTATTCATTCACTCCATACCCACTAAATCGACTCAACCCATAATAAAATTGTACAAAAAAAAAAAATTAATATATATATATACAATCTACAAACCAGAGGTCCAAGCCAATCCAATAAGAAAAGGGAATTTAATAAGACTACACTTGTGATTTGAACTATTTTGCATCTTACCCATGATTTTTTATCTAATTTCAAATTACCTATTATTCTTTTCATCAAAATTCAAATTGACAATCAAATAACACATCAAAATTGGTTTTGAAACTTTTTATGAAAATAAGATAACAGTAAAATGTTAGTTCAAGTGTTATGTGTATTTTGATAAATTTCCCTTGAAAAAAAAAAATAACAACCCCAATTCAAATTCTTCCCAAAATTGATAAAACAAGGGAAAAAGAAGAAAATGGACCTTGATCTAGGGCTCCACAGTGGTGACCTGCTGCCATTCCCCATCGACTGCCTCTTTCCAAAGTGTAACATTGTTGTTACCATCAGCAACCGCAAGGATGTTCCCCGTCAATGACCATGAAACCCTCCACACCGGCGTGTTGAAGTCCTTCAAAAGCTTTCCTTCCCACTGCTCCCCTTCCTTCCCCACCGTCCAAATCACCACCGTCCCGTCCTGGGATGCACTCGCGATGGTGGACTTCGGCAGCCCCAGGTTCGGGGCCCATGCCACATCCCTCACCCAATCCGCATGCATCTGCAGTGCGGGAAAGCAGTCCATCTTCCAAGTCCCATTGTCAAGCTTCCAAATCTTCACCGTGTTATCACAGCCACCAGATGCTAGCTTGTGGACGATCTCACTGCCCCAATTGGGGCCCACAAGGGAGCCGGGGAGGCCGGCGGGAGCCCATGAGACCGAGGTCACGCCAACTGGGTGTGCCTGCTCGATGCGGGAGGCATCCCAGGACCCATCAGGGCCTGCTGATAGTATAGAGATCGTTCCATCAGAGGAGCCGCACGCAATGCAGAGTCCGATTTCATGCGGTGCCCACGCAATGGAATTCACAGATGCCTTGTGATCAGAGAACACGTAAAATTGGGACCAGTCATTGGAGGTGCCCTCCTTCCAGATGATGACCTTGCCATCATAGGAGCAGGAGGCAAGGAGGGAGCCGAACTTCGGATGGGCCCAAGCGACCTGCCATACAGGGCCCTGGTGGCCGCTGAGGGTGGCGAGGTGCTGCTGCGATGAGGCGGCCACGCCAATGATCTTGATCGTCGCATCCGAAGAAGCAGTCGCCAAGCGCTTCCCGTAGTAATCCATGGCCACATCATGGACCACGTCCTGGTGCCCGGTCTCGATCTTCAGTGAAGGCATGTTTAACAGAGGATTATGTTAAGGTTAGGGCAACCGTTTGCCCCTCTCCTCTCTGAGACAAGATGGATCTGAAAATGCTAGGGTTTTTTCTCTTTGTTTCGGATTGGCACTCTCTCTCTCTCTGCAATTTGTTTGTTGCAGGTGGTAACCGAGGAAGAAAAGAGAGGGAGAAAAATTGAAGACGCCCTGTAGATCTCATTTCCTTCTGTTTCTTCATGTTTTTGGTTTGAGCGCGTGTACTATGCTTCCGCGCTCCCGCGGGAGCATTGTATGTCTACTCCCTTGGTAAGAAACCTAGTTGTCGATTTTTTTTTTTTTTTTTCTGAAATTTTGGTAACTACCTAACCATTTTATTCTCCAAAGGAAAAACAAGAAAAAAAAGTTAAATTTAAATTTTGATGTATAAAATCTTAGGATTATCTTTAAGAAAAAGTTTATATAAGGTTGCAACCTTAAAATGTAGAATTAATGATGCACTTTTAAAATCCGTCAAAAAATATTGTTTTAATGTTGTTAAAAAACCTTCTAATTTATCATCTCGACATCGAGATGCATGAATATGGAAAAAAAAAAAAAAAAAAAAATTTGAGTCCCATAAATAGTGTATCTGACAACACATTATCAAGACCGTCCATTTTCAAGATTTTTATGTGTTTATAGATCTACTTGATTTTAATTGGAATGTTTAAAGTTGCAACTAGATTTTTTTTCATTAAAATTTTATTTTTATTGAGATTATCAATAAAAACATACTCGATTTACTTGGTGGAGTAAATAGATATTATACTCATATAGGCGTACAATATATTTTAGCTTTTCGATATTGAAGTACAAATTTAATGTTTTTCCATACACTGAAGCACGCTTCACTTTTGGGTGTCATACTTCTCGCTTTTGGGTGTCATACTTCTCGCTACTGTACACCTGAAAAAAGTTACAAATAATAATAACAAATAAGTAATACAATCAAAATTAACAAAACAAGTATCATTAATTGGTACACAATATCAAAGTTAAAAAATTGGGCGTTTTGATGTCATCTTGAATTGATTGGTAAGTATTTAAAAAAAATAAAAAAATAAAAAAAATCACACAAATTTATAGAATTTATTCATTAAAAACAAAAAAAAATTTGTTTTATGCGGGCTGGACAGCATGACTGCTTAGGTCCAAAAAGTGTGAAGCATCCATCTCAAGTTGGAATTCCATCTAAAAACAATGGAGCGTGCATCTAAAAACAAAGGAGTATGAAGCATCCATCTTAAGTAGGTGTTCCATCTAAAAATAATGGAAATTAACGGTCCAAATTATTTTTTTACTATAATTATTATTTTTAGTTTTAAAAATTTATTTATTTTTTCATATTCATGACCTCCATCTTAAAAATTGCATGTCTTTAAAAATTAAGTCCAGCATCCAACTCAAAAATATATTTTGTTAATAGGCCCGCATTTCTATATATGCAGGCCTAACAGCGTAGAAAACAGGTCCAAAACAAAATGGGTCATTACCTGCATTGTACTTTCAAAATTTTACTCAAAAGTAAGGACAAATTAATTTTTATTAATTTATAATTAATAGAAATTATAATTCAATATTAAGGAAAAATAATAATTTTACAAAATTAAAGTTGTGCTTTTTGTAACCATTTTTTGTTATAGAATTTCTTCAAAAAAAATTGAAGTATTTATGAGTGAATAATTTGTTCCGATTGAATGGCATTTTACTTTTTTGTTTAAAATTATAAAAGCACTCATATTTTAAAAAATTTCATAAATAATTTAATTTTATGACCTTAATTTAAAAACTTTAAACCATAACTAGAATAATTAATTTAGGAAATAAAATATATAGAGTTGAGGCTTTAAACAATTATATTAGAGCCTAACTCAAAAATTTCTCTAGAAGAGGTTGTTTTGATGCCCAAATATGAAAAAAAATAGATTTCAAGTTTTTTAAATAGTGCATCTTGTAGCGCATTTTTAGACCGCCAATTTTCAATATTTTCAAGTTTTTATATATCTACTCGATCTATACTATTTTTTAAGCTTTAAATTTTCTATTTAAAGATAAAAATATATTTTAAGGCTCTTACAAAGATTTTCAATATTGAAACCATATTTCTGGACTCTATTTGAAGGTGTGTTTTACTTTGATTGTTCAGAGCCTCGGCTCTATACAAACCGCATATATTAATTTATGAACATAATTTTTTAAAAAATTGCATACTATGAGACTGTTTATCTCTGTCATAAGAAGGTAACAATTACTGCTAGCCATTGGATTTTAAATATGGCTTGAGGTATCTCGAGAAGTTCAAGAATTTTTTTTTGAGCTTTGAGTGTCGTCAAACATTCTCATAATTACTCAATTTTAATTATGACAAACAATAGTAAATGTGATTTTTCTTGTACCAAAAATAAATTATCACCTTTTATACTTTTCATTTTTAAGAGATTATATTCTTTAAAATTCATCTCCAATTGAAAAAAAAAATAGTCAACATACCAATTAAAATTAAATTATAACCATTTTTAGTTATTAAGGGACTACAAATGTGATTTAGGTTTTAAATTATCTATCCAGCATTTCGGGTGGTTAGATTGGTCATGACTTAGTATTGCCACCTATGTTCTAAGAGTCAAAAGTAATAACCAAGAAACTTCTCATTAACAAAAGATAAATTGTTTCATGCGTGTTGGACCGCATTTTTACATATACAAACTAGAAAGTATTAATCATCCATCTTAAAGATGGATGCAAGTAAGAAGTAGGTGTCCCATTTGAAGACAATGGAAACTAATAGTCAAAATGTTTACTTACTATAATTATTATTTTTAGTTTTAAAAATTTATTTATTTTTTCATATTTATGGTCTACATGTTAGAGATTACATGTCCTTAAAAATTAAGTATTAAAATCCATCTAAAAAATAGATTTATTAAGAGGCCCGCATTTCTACATATGCGGGGTTGACCACATAAAAACCGGGTCCTCAACAAAATATGAAACTTTGACTTTAATTAATCGTTTACAATTATAGTACCACCTAAAAATATAATTATAATAGAAAAAAACTAGCATAGGCCCACTAGCTTACAACTACATATGAACCCAATGGCCCAAATTCAATCTGGGCCAATCTAACGATCACGATTACATTTCGTTTTTTATTTTTTATTTTTTATTTTTTATGTAAATCAAAATCACTTGAAATTTTGAATGTGGGTTTTTTAAAAATAGGATAATCTAATAAAAATACAGCAATACATTTTTTTAAAATTTAATAAAATTCATAATTAGTTTTTTTTTTTTAGAGATTGGATTGAAAATTCTTAATTGTTTCAAACTGATGAATTACTTTATATTACTTACTAAAAAATCCAAATCAAACCAAGGATGAGGGAGAAAGCAACAGTAAACTGACCTATGGCATGGAACACGCAAGACTAGATAGCAGCCACACGTATAAGTCATGACTTGTACCTACTCATGTTCATGTGCTCCGCACAAGTACCAACACTATCATTTGTCGCACACATATAAATCATGGGAGTGTTCCATATTACTCTAATTCCATCCTATTATTCAAAGTGGGACTAAAATCTACTATTTTTTTTCTCGTTATAAAAAACTTTAAAAAATAATATTAATAAATACATTATTTTGAAATATTTCATAATATTTTTTTAAAACTAAAAATACTAATGAATATTTCGGAGGGCTTCGGGAGAGATAGAATTGTGCGTGATAGGAGAGATAAAGGAGTTGCATGTGATCCTTTTGAGAGCGAGAAAAAGAGAGTTGGTGTCTTTTGGAGGGTTTTGATTTTGAAAGAGAAACAGGAGAGTTGTGAGTAAATCCTTTGGAGGATCTGAAGAGTGATAAAGCTGCATGTAAACCTTTTGGAGCACTTCAAAAGGCTTGCTCTTTTTTCAAAATGATGTTATTAGTGTCTTGGTTGTCTGCAATATGCGAATGCTTGAAGGATGCACAAGCACCTTCAATGGTTCAGATTGAAACCAGTGTAATAAATGACCAATAAGAGTTTTATGTTTTATTTGAAAATAATATTATCGAAAATTTTAGATATAGATACGTTCAATATGATTTATCAAATAAATAAATAAATAAATAAATAAAAAAGTTGACCAAAATAACCCTAAAATAATTTAAGGTCATTTTTGTTCAAAAAAATTTTCATTTTTGTTCAAAAATTTTTTATTTTTGTTTAGTGTGTCATATAAAAACACATATTTATCTGAAATTTTAAATAAATATTATTTAAAAATAAAAATAAAATTAAAAAATGAAATACAACACTCATTTTGTGACTGTTAGATGTGACTCTATCTAATATAATGAGATTGTATGTTATAAGGCCATTCATTTTTTGTACAACAAAGTCACAACCTTTCTTAACCATTGGAGGTGAAATCTAACGTATTAAAATGTATTACAACTTTTGAACTTTTTGTTCTCAATTAGTACCACATCACCACCATCCAATCTCACATCCAATAGTTGATAATGATTGTCACCATCTTGTATAGTTGTATCAAAAGTAAATGCTCTCATCATATAGTTTCCTTTAATATAAACCATTATAAATGCAACAGTCCACATGATGCACAAGGGAGACTTTCCTTTTCTCAAAAGGTCTCCATGTATAAGAGAAGAGGGTCAAATAGTGTGCACGTAATAGAGAGAGAGTTAATTTATTGAAACATGGACTTTAAGATGGTTAGGTTCATAATTTCCTACTAAAAATGCACATTTAGACTGTGATACAAAATATATATANATAATATATATAATATATATAGTATATATATATATATNTATATATATACTATATATGAGTAGTCGTAGTCGTACGTTACTACGTTAATATAAGTA